AACACCGATGATACTACGTAAGCAAGAAGAATATATTGAAATGTTTGGTAGCATTTTACATTCCCATCAAGAAACAGTACCTGACTGTCTCCAACTGGTACGCAATGAAGAAGAGAAAGGCAGAGCTGGGTGGAAGAAGCGTACATCAATAATGATATGTAGGTAAAAGCTGAAGCAATACGCGCCTTGAACGTCCACGACTGCCTTGCTTCTTCATTTACTGCTATGTTCGTCATCTCGTTGTATCCAGAGATTTTGAAGAATTTTTGAAGTCTCTGAACAAGAACAATGATGATGTAAAGTATTCCCAACAATCCTAACAGAAAATAACCAACAGAGTGCAGTATCGCAGTTTTCTGAACGGGTTGAAGACTTTGAAACGGACAATTCAATAGCGTCGCGTCGACCAAAATCATGTTCAAAAGTCGTGCGATGAAATCTTCCAGTTTTCCGATTATATGATTTCGTTTCTGTGATCCTACGGTGCCTTGAAGCAATCGTACCACTTGGTAGTAATAGAACACCACCTTGATCAGTCCACCGCGTCGATTCCTTTCATTCGTTGGGGTTCTAGCAGGAATTCGCCGCGAGGTGAAAATCTTCAAGCTGCTAAAAAGAATTTTCGAGATAATCCTTTCAATCTCCTCGTGGTAAAGGAAGAAGATAAGGTAGAGGATCAATATGGCTAGTGCACTTGGGATGAATAAAGATACTGAGCATTTTGCATTGGAAATACATGACGAGCTGAACAAACCATCGGACATTCCGCTGGCGCAACCACCGCAGAGCGTCCCAGTTCGGTTACCATGGCAACTATCATAGCTGACGCAATCCTTAGAATTGCAGCAATATCCCGGCGGGCATTGCGCGAACTTGATCGAGGTGTTAGCTTTGTATCCCCAGAAATTTGGCCTCGCTTTGACGACACCATCAAGACAGCTTCCCCCGGAAGGACAAGATTTACATTGGATGTTGTTGCTTGTATTAAACACAAATGCTGATTTGTCAATCGTATAGGTCTTTGGTGGACATTTCTCACAGGTTAAGTAAGCGTATGAACAATATATGCTGCGTATGTTGTACTTGCAGGTCTTTTGAGAATGCAGCACATACCCTTGAGGGCATAAAAGTTTAAATTTTCTTCTTAGAACAACCCCGGTGCTTCCCTGAGATGGTATACGTAGAAAAACTACCTGTCCTGTATTCATTGCAGTGATATTGAAAATATTAATACCGTTGAAAGCCACCGAAGATCCCCCTTTTGCGAAAAACTGTGCTGCGGTCGTTACAACTTGGCGGTTCTCAAAATAACAATCATTAAAGTCGACCGTTGCTTCCGCAGAAACCGTTACGACTGCGTAAAACGGACTTTTGCTCGCCCTGTTGTCATGGAAATAGCTTGACGTCACTCGGTACCTTCCTCCGCCGAAATATATTGCCGGCACAGAGTTGAATCTGCCTAAACCATTGAAGTTTTGCGTGAATGTATTATTATTAAGAATGGTAGATGGTTCTTTTCTCCAGGTTCTTTTTTCAACGTTGAAAGATTTGAGGACTAAAGCTGCAGAATTGTTTCTAAATATACTGTTGACTATTTCCACTTCAAAAGGAGCGTGTACGTTAAATATGACCCAGAGACCAACCGCTGGCCGTTTATTAAGATTATTTTCCACTCTGACATTCCGTAACGATATATACGTCCCATTGCGTTCATTTGGATTTTGGTCGCTAATTAACAATGATGAAAACGAATACAACCTTGTCATTCCGAAATGGTTCAAAAACGCCGAATTCCATATGGAAATATTTAATAAAACCGCGTTTGGTATTATTGAAAACAGATCCGCAAAAACTGTAGCGTACTCACCGTCGAAAACGCTTTGATGAACAAGAACTTCGACTGTCTGCGAGTGTTTGTGATGCTCATTGTAAATAGTTTGAAGCTTAATTGGATTCTTTTTGAATACGCTGTCACTGATATGCGCTGTGAGGTTAGTACATCGCAGCAAAATTGCCTCGTCTGCCCTTCCAAGAAATGTCGAATTGTAAATCTTAATGTCGCAGTTTGTACAGTTGCCACTGTATACGCCGATTCGGTGATCTGTAAAGGTAGTATTTTCTATGATTATCTCAAATGCGATGGCCTCGTCGCATTCAATAACGACATTCGCGGATTTTAAAACTAAATTGTAAAAGCCCACGTTAACTCCAGCCAAACTCTTGTTCTTTAGCGCAAAAAGGGTACAACTCCTCTTGCATCTAATAATCGGTGTTCCGTTTACCCCGTGAAAGAAAATCGACCTCTTCAACTGGATGGAGCATGCCTCTGGATCAGTAACATTTTCACATTCCATATAAGGTCGTCCTTGCGCGTGTTCGATATAGATTTCGTCTCCCTCATTAGTGATTTCCACTGCGTGCCGCACGCTACGACATGCCGTAGTCCAGGAGAGGCAATCATTGAGATCAGTGGCAGTACTACGTTGACTTACAAATACAGGTTTCGAAAGCACGTACTCGTTTGCTAAATAGATAGAGCGGTGTAACAGTGTATGAGTTTTTGATACATTGCTCAATTGATATCGCTTAAGCTCGAGTTCTGTCGCATTAGGCTGTTCGTTTTTTAAACGAAAGAGACCAGAACTTGCGAAATATTTGCGTATTTACTTTGGAATTAAGAGCGCTTAGGTTAAACTAATTGTCAGGATTGTATTGAGAAGTCAAAATTCAAAAAAAAATGCATGCAATCTTTTGCGATATTTGCCTGCAAGTGAAAATTGACCTAAAATTTAAGCAAAAAAATTAAATGAATGTTTGTATTTCGAGTGAAAAGTAATAACGACTAAATAATAACGGTGGGTGGATCGCAATTCGCTATTTTTCTACATATTATAATTGTTTTGTCTATGTGTTATTTATGATTGACAGCCTACTCAAAACAATTTCTACATAAAGAACCATAGATGCTACACTTAATCAATCCTTAAATTTGATACATTTCATGATGTGAAAATACGCTTTCGTCACATTTTAAACTGCTATATTTTCTCAATATGTTATTGTCTCAAAATACAAACTGACACTGGTTTACTGTGTTTCTAAGTAAATATTTAAACTTATACAAGGGTTAAAGACCGGATAAACGTATACAATTTTATAGCGTGGTTATGCTGATGAGAATTCTCTATCTTTCGACTAAACGTGATTTTCGCTGACAAGCAACGTACACATAAGTGCGAATATGAAGCATTACGCATTCGCACAGGATGAAACCGCAGTACTATGGTACGTTTGCTCAAAAAACCACCCTGACAAAACAAAAATCGCTGATATCGAGATGTACGTCAAGAATGTAGGCTCTGGAGGATTGCCACTGATATGCCGCGTAATCGAATTTTCCTCTTCCTGCGTAATCGAAATTTCCTGTTTCCTGCAACTTCCGTTAAGCTGTTGATTGTTCGTTTCGAATTCGAATGCGATCGGAATTTGCGAACAATGCTTCATGACCCTAAATTTAGTAAATTTTGCTAAGTTCGTGATGTTTGCCAACCTCGTACTCAGCCTTTGGTCTCATTTTGAACTGCTATATTTTCTCAATATGCTAAACGTACCTTTTGAAATCGCATGTCGCAAGCTTGAACGCAAATGGTAGTATATCATTCCCGACTGTGGAATGGTAGTATATCATTCCCGACTGCGAGATCGACAAATTATAGATATTTCTCAACTCTAGTTCTGGTCTAAACTCTAGTTCAAATATTTATTTAGGAACACAGTTAACCAGTGTCGGTTTAAATATTGAGACATACAGCGTTTCAAAACGTACGTTTTGTCTCGCCCCCTGTCATGTTTGGATAATGAAATTGACATGTTTTGATAATGAAATTGACATGTTTTTTAAGTTCATACGGCATTTTTGATTCGCCAAGTTCATTTGGACTTCAAAAACATGTCAATTTCATTACCCAAACATGACTGAGGGCGTGACAAAACGTACATTTTGAAACGCTAACGTACATTTTGAAAAGTCAAACGTACGTTTTGGAACTTCAAACGTACGTTTTAAAATCGCACGTCGCATGCTTGAACGCAAATTGTAATAAATCTTAAAATATTTAGGCATAACAAAGGTCGTACTTACCCTGACATAACAATAACACCACCGTTAAAGCAATATGGTCCAGCATGTCGCGAAATTATTCAACTTAAATTAAGGAGGCTTCCGACAGTTACCCGGGCATTTCAAGTATCATGGCAAAGCGTCATTTCCCTGAGACAAAGTGCTCTTCGTTTCGACTCTAGATTCTGTCTACTCGGATTTCACTGGAAAATTAGTTGCGCATGCGCTAATGTAGTCACAATTTCCGCTAGAATATGCGCCATAAAGAGTCTTGCTCGCTTGCCCGGAACTTGAATACGTGGAAAACCTGGGAACGAGGATGGTACACTACCAGATGATCTTCCTCCCGATGGATCGCGGGCTCTGGTTTCGAGATTGGATGATCTTAAAACTGAAAATTTAACTGGGACTTGTTATAAATTTCTCAAAATCAATCTCTCTGTCGAAACAACTTGACTTTTTGGTTCTAATTTATGTCGTCAGAGCATAGGCGGCCCAAAATTGCGCGAGAAATTTTTCGGTATTTGTCAATATGATATAGCAATGTACAATTACATTACATTAATTTGACAAATTACCGAAAAATTTCTCGCGCAATTTTGGGCCGCCTATGGTCAGAGCTATAGTTCTTTTAAGGTTATGGTAAACATAATAACAAAATTTCGACAGCGGTTTCATTAAGAATAATAAAAAAATCGATTAAATACTGCAGAAAGGATTTCTATTTCAACAACCCTTGATACCCTTCTGCGCGATGATTAACTAAAAATCATTTTTTTCTTAAATTTTTCATTTTTCTCAAATTTTCGTCTAATAAACTATTTGAAGTTCGCATACCACAACAATTTCTCAATACAACGACAACAATTTTCTGCTGAAAACTAATGATATTATTTAGAGGAATATTGAAAATTAGATGTTACAAATGTCACCACTTCACATTAGCGACACGTCGAAGCTATAAAAATACTGATTTTAAATCTACTTATTTATGCGCACAATAATGTTTACGCCTGTATTCTAAGAGTAAACTCACAGTGATAGCAAAACTTCTATGTCACACTCAATCATTGTTTGTGTACGTTTGAGTGCATCAAATTTTTGAATATACAGGTGTTGATCATAAATGTGCACTGCATAATTTGGATGTTCTTTTCCATCTATTCAGCCATCTCTTTATTCTGCTTTCTTGTAAGTTTATACACACTTAGGGTCTCGCCTTCGGCTGTAACCCAACACTTAATTTCTAAGATAACGCCTCTTTCCTCTGTATACTTGTCCTCGGACTGTCGAGAAAACGATGTAATTAATTACTTCCTGCAATATCTAGAGCACTTTCGAATCAGTACCATTAACCTTCCCAACACAGATAATACTACTATGAGTAGTAGGATCGCCAACGGAGCAACAACAAGGATATTTTCTATCGTATTGAAGACGTTGAGTAAAGCGACATCGTCTGAAAGCGATGCGAAATCCTCGCCATAATAAAGGCTTTTGATTAAAGTGAAACCACAAAGAACAGTCAAAACAGAAAGTGAAAGTGATTCAATGGCATTGACACTTGGACGAGTGAAAGGTTTAATGTACGTGTGAGATGCGAGAATAATGACACAGAGTGTCAAAGTTAGCATCATTTTGAGTCGATTATCGTGCACGAATGTGAGCACAATTATAAGAACCAGCCTTCTGAATATCAAGTAACCTTCCCAAGGAAGAATAGAGTCAGGGAAGCATAGGAATGCTTTGTGATGTCTGAATGGACCAAGAAGAATTCGAAGAATGACTTCGTTGTTTTGGATCCTACAACCACTATCGCATGTCGGCCTGTCCTCGCGTATTTCCCCCTGGCAACAGCTGTGTCTGTGTTCACGTTGACAATGAACTGGGTCTAGTAACTGTTGGTTGGTTGGCTGATCTTCAGAAGGATTTTCAACGCAATAATCTTCACAAGCCTCTCCAAAATTTTTGCTGGATTCTCTATTGTCATTGCCAGCTCGCTTCTGCCAGCGATACTCCCTGAGTACCAAATAGATCCAAAAACAACAAAATGACAACGGGAATATGCATGCGATGCAGAATTGTGAAACAGAAATGCGATTTATTTTCAAAAGATACGCCCCAAGGACAGGCACGAGACAAAACGGAAACACCGATGATATTACGTAGGCAAGAAGAATATATTGAAATGTTTGGTAACATTTTACATTCCCATCAAGAAACAGCACCTGGTTGTTTCCAACTGGTACGCAATGAAGAAGGGAGAGGCAGAGCTGGGTGGAAGAGGCGTACATCAATAATGATATGTAGGTAAAAGCTGAAGCAATGCGCGCCTTGAACGTCCATGACTGCCTGGCTTCTTCATTTGCTACTATGTTCGTCATCTCGTTGTATCCAGAGTTTTTTAAAAATTTTTGAAGATACAGAACAAGCACAGTGATAATGTAAAGTATTGCCAACAATCCTAACAGGAAATAACCAACAGAGTGCAGTATCGCAGTTTTCTGAACGGGTTGAAGACTTTGAAATGGACAATTCAATAGCGCCGTGTCGACCAAAATCATGTTCAAAAGTCGTGCGATGAAATCTTCCAGTTTTCCAAGTATATGATTTCGTTTCTGCGATCCTACGGTGCCTTGAAGCAATCGTACCACTTGGTAGTAATAGAAAACCACTTTTATCAGTCCACCGCGTCGATTTCTTTCATTCGTTGGGGTTCTAGCAGGAATTCGCCGCGAGGTGAAAATCTTCAAGCTGCTAAAAAGAATTTTCGAGATAATCCTTTCGATCTCCTCGTGGTAAAGGAAGAAGATAAGGTAGAGGATCAATATGGCTAGTGCACTAGGGATGAATAAAGAAACTGAGCATTTCGCATTAAAAATACAGGACGAACTGAACAAACCATCGGACATTCCGCTGGCGCAATGACCGCAGAGCGTTCCAGTTCGGTTACCATGGCAACTATCATAGCTGACGCAATCCTTGGAAATGCAGCAATATCCCGGCGGGCATTGCGCGAACTTGATCGAGGTGTTAGCTTTGTATCCCCAGAAATTTGGCCTCGCTTTGACGACGCCATCAAGACAGCTTCCCCCGCGAGGACAAGGCTTACAGGTGATGTTGTTGTTTTTACTGATCATGAATTGCGCTCTTTTGATTGCATAGGTTTTTTGCGGACACTTCTCGCAGCTTATGTAAACGTATGTACAATGTATTTTGCCTCCATACCTTTTGCAGATCTTTTGAGATTCCAGAACATACCCTTGTGGGCATAGGACTTTGACTGAATTACCATGAAAGGCAACTACCTTATCTTTGAATCTATGCAAAGGCGTACGTAGAAAAACGGTTTGGTCAGTGTTCAAAGCGGTCATGTTGAATACATTCAAGCCCATGAAGGAAACCCAAGTTCGTCCACTTGCGTAGAACTGCGACGCAAATGAATCGATTTGACGGTTTTGAAAATGGCAGTCAGTGAAGATGACAGTTGTGTCTTCTGAAACGGTGACGACACCAGTAAACGGCCTTTTACTCTGCCTGTTATCATGGAAACGACATGACGTCATTCGTAACTTTCCTCCCTTAAATTTTACCGCCGATGAAGAATACGATGAATCAATAAAATGGTTGAAATTTTGTGTAAAGGTAACGTTGCGTAGAGAAGCAGTTGTGCGCCCTTTCTTTTTAGATCTGGTGCTTTGAGAGTTTGTAGTCATTATTAAAGCGCAAGAATTATTTTTAAATACGCTGTCTAGAATTTCTACTATAAGGGGAGAGTGTTTGTTAAGTCTCACCACGATTGTAACAGGTGACAAATTGTTCTTCACTTTGATATTCGTTAATGATATGTACGTTATAATATTGCGCTTGTTTGCATTAAAATCACCTATTAATAACGGCTTATAATTTCGATCCCTCGTGGCCTTTCCGTGGTGATTTAAAAACGTGGAGCTCCATATAGAAATATTTATTCTCACCGCATAGGGACTTATGTAAAATAGATCATTTGGGATTGCAGTGTATAGGCCGTCAAAAATGCTTCGACGAACAAGCACTTCGAACGTGTGCGCGTGTTTGCGAGGGTCGTTGTATTTAGTTCGGAGAATAATTGGATTTCTTTCAAATACGCTGTCACTGATATGCGCTGTGATGTTAGTACATCGCAGCAAAATTGCCTCGTCTGCCCTTCCAAGAAATGTCGAATTGTAAATCTTAATGTCGCAGTTTGTAGAGCTGCTACTGTATACGCCGAATAAGTGATCTGTGAAGGTAGTATTGTCTATGATTATCTCAAATGCGATGGCCTCGTCACATTCAACAACGACATTCGCGGATTTTAAAACTAAATTGTAAAAGCCCACGTTAACTTCCGCCAAACTGTTCTTTATCGCAAAAAGTGTACAATTCCTCTTGCATCTAATTATTGGTCTTCCATTTATTCCATGAAAAGAAATCGACCTTTTCAACTGGATGGAGCTTGCCCACAGTTCAGTAGTATTTTTGCATTCCATATAAGGTTGTCCTTGCACGTTTTCAATATAAATGTCATCTTCGTCCTTCGAGATCTCCACTGCGTGCCGCACAGAGCGACATGCCGTAGTCCAGTTGCGACAGTCATTGAGATCAGTGGCAGTACTGCGTTGACTTACAAACAAGGATTTCGAGAGCACGTATTGGTTTGCTAAATAAATAGAATATTGTGTGAGTGTGAATATTATGTTAAGTGCACATGGTTTAGTACTCTCCAACGAACAAATTTGTCAATACCTTTTAGTGATATTTAGTTTCCTAGAAATACATGCATGCAGCAACCCCTCGCCATTTTAAACGAAGCAAAATATTTCGTGCGCTACCCAGACCTAACTTTCTACGCTAATATTATGAAATAACTCGTGCAAATTTTTCGGAAACAAAAACAGTTGTAAAGGTGAACAGAAATCATCTAATTTGAAAATATTTTTCCCAGGGTTATCAAAACAAGCACACAAAGTGCATTAAACTTATGGGTTTGATTACGAATGGGCGGGGATGGCTCAGTTAAGAACAGAACTAAGAGAATTTCTTGTTTTAAACGTATACGAGCAAACTCAACCTCCGTCTAAAGTCGTGTTTATTGGAAAATTAAGCACATGACACAAGGGTACGCACCCTGGAAACGTACTTTCAAATCCCAGAAGCGTAATTAGTTGCACAGTCTTTGAAATTCTAAAGTGCATAAAAATTATGGTATTTGCAGTTTTTTTGATACACCCTGTATAATTGATGAATATATATATAAAACTTTTTTCGTCGTGATCTCTTAGCAAACTAAAATTCTCATTCCCCCTCTCGTTCACGATAACTCAAAAGGTAATAAAGCTAACTTGATGGGTCGGGTGAACCTAAAAGTGTTCAGTCTAAATAATAGCGATTGTTTATTTTAGATAGCTCGTAGAAGTTTTATATTCACGTTTCCCGTATATAAAATTTAATGCTTGAACGGTTGTGGATGTATGCCGAACTTCAAACATGAAGTTTTATACGCCGAACGTGAAACACATACGGCAAAGCTGAACTTTGCTGCTTTGCTGTAATTGCTTTCTTACATTGCTGCTGTACATCGCGAGTTTCATGTAGAACGTTTGTAATTTAGCGTTAGCGAAATTGCTGCACACTTTAAGATAGTCTCGCTATGCTAATATTTTGGTGTTTATTATCTGCGAAAACAATGGAGTTTACAAAGAAATGGATATACAAAGCCAAAATTTGCATTTCGAATCCAAATACACGTTAGTTAGCCTGACTTCCACGCTGAATGCTGTGCTAATTTTGATAGTGATAATGAGATAATATGATCTGGTGACTACAAATCATTGTTTATTCGCAGGCTATTTATACACTTTGTACTTCCTTGTTTATAGTTTTGACTAGGGAGCGGTCAAGTAAAGCTAATTTAGTAATTAAGGGACTGGTCATAATTTAGCAGGGGGGGTGGGGAGGTGTAATTCAATATTTTAAGGAATGATATTTTGCAACCCTGTCTTGCCTTATCCACAAAAAATCATGCCCCCTCCCCTTGTTCGAGACGGTAAAAATGCCCCCCCCCCCATCCGTCAACGTTTTGATAAACACTGCTTCAAAATGAGAAACTACTGTAATCTGCACCGTCAATTCAAAATAGTAATTACACCTTCAAAAATTTTTCTGACAACGTTTATATAAAGTAATAAAATTAATTTATATACGTCCACTTATATATATTCCAAGGGTGGGTAGACTACAAGTTTTGTGTAGTTCGCTACAACTACTGCTATTTTAAAATAATGTAGTCACCTACAACTACTGCTATTGTCAAAAATATGTAGTTTGGTTCTTTTGACTACGTGTACAGCTATATCGCTAGAAAAATGTAGCGAAGTATTCGCTACTTCGCTACAACAAAATTCCTGGTATCCGTGTTTGTAATTTATATTGATTTCACATGTTTTAAACATATGAAATGTTAAGCATAATATGCTCATATATTCTGATACTATGGATTAATGGCGGATGAGCCAAAGAATTCTAGAAGAAAATGTGGGTCCAAACGAGATTTGACATGGTATATTAAATGACTAGTTTGTATTATAGTGTATGAACTATAGAGTATATAGTCGAGGGATATTAAAAAATCGAAAAGTGGCGAATAGCGATTGTTGTTGAAAAAGTAATCAACTACTTCGCTACTTTTAATATAGAAAATATAGTTCGCGACAACTTCAAACTACCAGTTTTAAAAAGTAGTCTATACAGTTACTCGCAAATTGTAGTTCGCTACAGTTGCAAACTCCAACAACTCCGATACTACCCACCCTTGACATATTCATATGTTAAAATTTGGTTTTAAACAAATATGTTAGTTATTTCTAGTGAAAGACCCTGCTATTTAAAATATAAATATTTTAACACAGTGACTTATATAACTTTTCATTTTAAATTCTATAACTAATTTTGTTTAATGTTCTAAGCAAAGCTTATGCAGTGCAACTCAAAGTCTAAGCATGTATAAAAGAAATAATTACAACCAGAAATAAGCAACCCCCCCCCCTTATAACTGTCTAACATTTTATGAACCCCCCTTTTTTTCTGGCTAAAAAATATGTGACCCCCCCACTATTTCCACCTCCCCACCCCCCCTGCTAAATTATGACCAGTCCCTAACTCAAAAAGGAACGGCACTACTATACTCACATATTTGTGTACATATTTCCGTTGTTTTATCATTGTGTTTATTCATACTCAAAGAAAATCTAGATTGAAATTCTCTAAAATTGTAATAATTTTCAGCGCGGTCAACCAGGCCGAATGAAACACAGGTGTTAAAAGTTCTGCTCGAATAGTCGGTAATATAAACAAAAACTTTGTTCACATTTTAACTGCTCCATTCTTATAACATGGGCCACAGTATCGATATGTAATCAGCAAACACAATACCAGTTATAGCTGCGTTTCTAAATTAATATGTAAACTAGAGTTCATGTCCAAAAAACATCGAAACACGCGCAAAATCTGAGCAATCACTATTATACCGACCGGCCCCCTATTGACAATGCTATTAGCAGGAGCGATCCTAAAATATTTAGAATTATAAATATGTGCTTACCCTGACATAATACCAATACCACTGTTACAGCAATATGATTCTGCATGTCGAAATTGATGACCTAAAGGAGGCTCTCCACTGTCAAAGTTCGCCGGATTGGTTCGACCTTAGATTCTTTTGACTCGGAGTGCAGCAGCAGTTGCGCATGCTCTAATTCTGCGAAAATTCCCGTTTGATCAGGCCGAATAGCAAGAGCAATTAATCGGCGGGGATGAATATTCTCATAAATTTATTCGCCTTATGCCCGACTGACTTATCATGAAAGCGGTTTTTAGCGTTGTGTAAACATGAAACATCAAACAAAACTCGATTCTACTCAAAACTACTTCCCGCCTGGTTTGAAGATTTCAAACTTAGATTTCTTACATAATATGATAAATAGGTTTCATTATAATCAATAGTGGCACAATATCGTGCGGCATTTTTTCATAGCGATAAGAATACATCGGCCTGCTTTGCATGAATTATACGGCGTTGTGGAGAATATTCCCTTGAATATACACGACACTAATGTTTCAAAAGAATGTAAATTTTGATTACGTCAAGCACGTGCAGCGAGATGGGTCTTCGCGATGAGTGGAAAAGGAACCTACGTCTTCAATACTTGCTGGGGATTTTGCACGCAATTGTCTTCTTTTTTTGAATGATGGGAACCACTTTAATAGATCATTATAGACTCGAATATTTATATACATTATAACTAGTCACAAAGCGCTCAAACCACCATTCACAAGATGTTTTCGTTTAGGTTCATGATGATCTGAACGTAAAATCAAGTTCCCGAAACACCCGTGCGCCTGGCGTTGTGGAGCTGGAGTTCATTGAGGGTTGTGCTGGTACTGAGATGGATAAAGTATCCGAATACAAAAATACCACCCCATCGCTCGCCGAGTCCTCGGTATCTCACATCGTCAGTTTGTTAGCCGACGAACAATGCTACAATGGACAGGTGTTGATGGACGTTGATAGCAAGGATCTCGTATGTACCTCTGGGTACAATGAGGCCCAATCAGAAGAGGTACAGGATGACGTAAAAGCTGGTGCCACTTGCGTTACCCTGCAAGTTATCGATAATGCAAAGAAGACATATCGTGGGCAACAGAAGTCCGCAAATGCAAAGACAATATTTCGATCTTCAGAAAGAAGAGGTAGGTCGTTTATGTGTTTAAAACCCCCCAAGCTCGCCAAACAAGATGTGGCAAAGCGATTTATGATAGGATACAGTCCGCGAGCGATATCACATTTCACACTTTTCTTCCAGGTGCAGTCTTCAGCTCAATACCAACGAAAGAGTACGTTTGTCTTTAATGCATCCTTTATCCTCGTTAAAAACACAACGATGACTTATTGATAAAACTCTTTGAAATTTTAGAACTGTGAATCCAAATAAAGGTTTACAGGAGGCTATAGAAGAAAGGTTTGTCATGATGAATTATTAATGTCAATCATCATCGCGAAAATATTGACGCGCGTAAAACAATTGTCGTGTTATAGTACGGAAATTCACAAACTTTCCAAGGTTATACTTTCCGGACTTCATGCCTACTTCTCTCTCTGCTTCTTCTTCCCCCTGAAATCAATGTTTTATCAAATTATAATTAGTTAACTCCGTATCTCAATGTAACGGACAAATTCTCGTATAATTCCGCTTCTAAACGGACACTGTTTTTCTTATGTTGGCATGCAGGTTAAAAGCTTGTTTAAAGAACTCGGCAGCGTCATTGAGGTAAGCAATATTTTACAAACTATACGAAATAGCATGTATTTACATTTTTATAAGAAGAAAAAATCCGTCGCACAATCGAGCTTATGGTTATTACAACAAGATGCAGGGAAACTTCACCTCTCGCTCTTTAGATAAACAAAAGATTCTGCAAAAAAACAGACCCTAGTCACCCTACGTCCTACGTGTTAAAAAAATTCAGTTTTCTGACTTCTCTTGCACAGCCCAGTTTACTTTCGCAATAATTTGCTTCCTATATGTACCAGTCGAAGATGATATTTCGTAATGTATATAAAGCAGTTGTATAAAAATATTGCCCAGAGAAGCACACAAATTTTGTACATATTTGTACTTATAAGTAACAATTGTATCCCGAAATGTTTATCTGTATAACTATTTGAAATATAACTAAGTCGATGTTTGCACAACCTTTTACAACCAAACGAAGCTATGCACGGTTTTCTGCGTTTTTGCGAGTTCATTTTTCGTGTATGTGCTGTTCAGAAGCTTGCATAGCTATAAATTTGTCTCATTGGTACGGAAGATAAGTTGTCTGTCTTCCCAAGTATGAAAAAGTGCTAACAAATATTTTGTTATTTCAATAATAGGGAGCGACCACATACTGCCAGCAATAAGGTTAGTCCACTTACGTTTTATACATGGGCCATATTTAGCAGCCTTTGTTTTAATACTGTAACTCTATAATGTCATTAAATCCACAGTTGGCAAGAAAACCAATCCAGTCGGATATCGATAGTGACATGCTTCGCTCCGATCAACTGCCGCCCAGGCCTAAAACTGTTCCATCGTCGCACGTTGGTCGTGGACATACGCTGGCCAAGAAAGACAATCAAAGTCAAGTTGCCACACGAGACACTCTTTTTGCTACCCTAAGATCTTTAAGAACTGCAAGGTAAGTAAATAACAGTTTAACCCATGGACGCCGGAGAAGGGGGCGCAGGGGGGAGCATTCGCCTCCCTGGCACCTTGATTTCCACTTGTTTTTATTACTTTTCACCGTAAAAGTGTCTCTCAAATGACGTTTTCGCCCCCCTAACAACGTAATCCTTCGCAAGCTATATTGATACTGTCTAACATGTCTGTAGGAAAAACAATACTAGGACGAAGGTAGACTCCTGGATAAAGCAGAATGAGCCGTCCTTCGAAATCTCGGGCAGGAAAATTCAGGTGGACGGTAGGTCAGATACGGGCCAAGATAGTGAACGAAGAAAACCCTCTGAAACCAATCAATTACATGGAACTATAATTGTCCCAAGCCGTGTTCCCGGAAGTCGTTCAGGCTCGAGTGTCTCTGCGAACACAAAGGATACTTCTTCCATAAATCTGGTCGTAGGAAAAGCCTGTTTTAAAACTGAAGACAAGGAAGGAAAAGAACAAGTCGATGAGGTGACCATGGTTAATGACACAAAGGAATTGCCTAAGTCTAATTCGGAGATGACAGACTTAGTTACAGAATGGTAAATATTAAGTCAACTTTTTATTCACTATTTTTTATTACCATGCAAGTTCGAGTATTCCATGTACCGGTATATTTGACCATCTCTAAATTTTTGTTACGAATATTCCGTATTCCCTTTTCCGATATATTCGATCATGGTCGAGTATACCATACTCCGGTGCATTCGCCCATGGTCAAGTATACCATTTTCCAGGATATTCGACCATGGTCGAGTATACCATTTTCAGGTATATTCGACCATGGTCGAATATACCATTTTCCGGTGTATTTGAGCATGGTCTAGTATGCCATTTTGGGAAAAATGGTATACTCGACCATGGTCGAACATATCAGAAAATGGTGTACTTGACCATGGTCGAGTATTCCGATATATTCGACCATGGCCGAGTATAGCATACACCTGTATATTCGACCTTCTCTATTTTTTTATTACCATCGCCAAATATACCATATTAACACCTGAAATTAACAGCACATATTCCAGTGAACTCAACTACACTCTCATATTCAGTTTCTTCTCATATATTTCTTGCAACTGTTGAGATTTCTTCTCGTCTATGCATTATCCTCCGGAACGAACCTCTCTCTCTTAGTCAGAAGCATGTATTTTCTCATTTAGGCTGTCGAAGCTTGAAATAGATCCTGGAGATGCAGAGGACAAGCGTGGCAAATTCGAATCTTTCCAGAAAGATGTCGACACACACAAAGAAAGTCCAGTTGGGTCTTCGACTTCCACGCAACTTCGCAAGAAATCAAGTCTGGTTTGCAAGGTTCCGGATTGCCACGCCAAACGTGAAGTTAGATTCTCAAAAGCTAGAGAAACTCACAAAAGGTCAACAAGGGGATCCACACGGGTGCGGGAATTGAGCGAGGAGAGTTTGGAAGCTAAATGGAACGCCGTGGAAAAACTCATCTGCGCTGGGCAGAAAATGAATGCCTGGTCCAGAGAACAGGTAGTCAGAATATGTAAAATTAAAAAAGTGGTTTATTCATGAAAATGGTAGACGCAAAACATAACATACATAGGATGCATTCATTTTCCTCGAAGACCAGAACTCAAAGAAGACAAATAAATGGCGTGATTAGGATCTAATTTAGTTCTGTGGTTTGCTTCTTTAGAAATAGGATGATTAATTCATATTTACTTTTATTTGATCTTTGAAATAACGACAGGGGTTAGTAATGAATTGCTTGCAAACAAGTTTTCCTTCGGCAAAGTGAGAGAGCCTGCTATTCTCAAGATAAGTAATGGAATGTGATTAGGACAATGCAACGTGACCATTTTTTAAATCCTTTTTAGGTAATCCAAAGTAGTCCTGTGCTTCAGGCGGGGAGTCAAAAAGTACAAACAGGAGTATGTGGTAAAGTGTCGTCAGAGTATGTGCCTTCGGTCACGATCTCAGCAAAACAGTCTAAACTGGCGCATTTTGTCGTGCCAAATCCGAGCATGGATACTCTGAAGTCTGGGGAAGAATCTGATGGTACAGGAATTCGAGAACGAAAGTTCGCGAGGAAATATCAAAGTTTCAGTGCAGGCGGTAAGAAAAACGATTGGAATACTATCTAAACTATTTCCACACTTCGCTTTTCAAGGGATTATTGGAAAATAATACATACTATGTAAAGTTTCCAGCATGTTTGCCGCTCATAACAAACATTAAACAATATAACCTTGCTTTGGTTATGATGTCAAATATTTTGAAATGGATAACCACGCTGTTTTAATGGTCAAATGCTTGTCCTATGTAAAGTTTCCAGCTTGTTTGGCGCTCATATACCAGCATTAAACGATATAACCATGCTTTGGTTATGATGTCAAATATTTTGACATGGATAACCACGCCGTTTTATTGGTCAAATGCTTGTCCTATGTAAAGTTTCCAGCATGTTTGGTCACTCATATACAAACATTAAACAATGTAAACATGCTTTGGTTATGATGTCAAATATTTTGATATGGATAACCACGCTGTTTTAATGGTCAAATACTTGTCCTATGTAAAGTTTCCAGCATGTTTGGCGCTCATATACAAATATTAAACGATTTAACCATGCTTTGGTTATGATGTCAAATATTTTGACATGGATAACCACGCTGTTTTAATGGTCAAATGGTTGTCCTATGTAAAGTTTCCAGCATGTTTGGCGCTCATATACAAACATTAAACAATATAACCATGTTTTAGTTATGATGTCAAATATTTTGATATGGATAACCACGCCGTTTTATTGGTCAAATGCTTGTCCTAAGTAAAGTTTCCAGCATGTTTGGTCACTCATATACAAACATTAAACAATATAACCATGCTTTGGTTATGATGTCAAATATTTTGAAATGGATAACCACGCTGTTTTATTGGTCAAATGCTTGTCCTATGTGAAGTTTCCAGCATGTTTGGTGCTCATATATAAACATTAAACAATATAACCATGCTTTGGTTATGATGTCAAATATTTTGAAATGGATAACCGCGCTGTTTTATTGGTCAAATGCTTGTCCTATGTGAAGTTTCGAGCATGTTTGGTGCTCATATACAAACATTAAACAATATAACCATGCTTTGGTTATGATGTCAAATATTTTGAAATGGATATAACCACGCTGTTTTAATGGTCAAATGCTTGTCCTATGTAAAATTTCCAGCATGTTTGGCGCTCATATACAAACATTAAACAATATAACCATGCTTTGGTTATGATGTCAAATATTTTGACATGGATAACCACGCTGTTTTAATGGTCAAATGCTTGTCCAATGTAAAGCCGGTTTCCAGCATGTTTGGCGCTTGTATTGCTTGTAAATTTTAGCTTGTAAATTTGAGCTAACTAAAAAATATTCAAAATTAAAGACTAATTATGGAAAAATTATTGGTGGAGCTAAAGCCCAGCGAGCCGCCCTGATCCGCGGTCCCTTGTCTATAGCGCTCACTGTTCACCTTCTCTTATAATTATCTGAAGTATTTTCCTCATATATGTTTCGATATTGCGCCAGGGGCCGAGAGAGTGCCAAAAAAGACTGGGAAAGATCAATACTGGAATCAAACGACATCATCGAAATTGGAAAAGGATGTAAGATATCATATACTATTAACATTTGCATAAAAGTATAATTATAGATCTGGGGCTAGTTGTATGAAAGCCGGATAGCGTTATCCACCGGATAGTGATTTTTTCAACTGTTCTAAAAATGCTTGAAAAGCGATAAAATTTCATCTTTGGAACCAACAATTATTAAAGAGGATCCTGGAATTAAAGCGATTGAAAAAAGCACGATCCCGTTGATAGCGCTATCCAGCTTTCATGCAACCGGCCCTAGATTATCGCCAAATGACCGAAGAGGGCGGAGGGGAGATGGGGAGGTCTTTCTAATATAACCCATCACTTTTATCCAGCTTTGCCACAGTGTCCGCTAAATAACATTGATTTGAATAAATATTGAATAAAAAAAGGCTTCTTGTATTTATTTTATTCCATTTTTTTCTCTTACCAGAAATTAATCATGGGTAGCAAGGAATGGATGGACGCACATTTGACTGCTGTTTTAGACAAAGCGAAGATGACAAGAGAGCTTTGCCAAATGGGATAACTCAGTTATATAGTATATTATGCACTTTTTGCATGCCACATTTTGTATGTTCTTCTAAATTTATATCAATATCATTCAACTAAGATTTGGATCGGCTATTATCATTATACGGCTGATTTTACGGGTACCTTACTTCGTTTCAATTGTGATCAACAACGTATAAATATTTCATTCCAGTAGTCGTAATGCAAAAAAAACACAAGAGAAATGTGAGGCATTTCGCCCAGAATGAAAAATACTCTAACTTGATTGTCTGCTTGTCAGTTCCAGTGAACTCAAAGAAGACTGGAACGTTCACTCTCTGGCTTTCGCTAATTAATGAGTGGAGCCAATAGGGGGGGATTATGATGTCAAATTTTTTGACATGGATAACCACGCTGTTTTAGTGGTTAAATGCTTGTCCTATGTAAAGTTGCAAGCATGTTTCGGGCTCATATACAAACATTAAACAATATAACCATGTTTTGGTTGTGATGTCAAATATTTTGACATAGATAACATCAATTTTGAAAGTGAATAAACAACTTAGTAATTGTTGGCATTAGTATGGACACTATTGATAATTTGATATCGGAAACTGAAAGAAAACATACATGTTGTTTGTGGAATTTTTCTTCAATTTATGGAAATTCAAGCCTTACTTGATGGAAATTTCAAATTTAAAAGTGGAAGCACTCGATTACGAGCATTTCCAATATGGCCGACGAAAATGATATTTCAAATTTTGATGCTCAAAAAGTTTGTATCGGTTTCAAGGTACGTTTCTCTCAGTGGTACTTAAAAGAAAATAACTATGAGATTATTTTGTGTATTGAAGAAAATATAGAAGGTTTTAAAAACTTCTTTCTCGGACTTTTTAGGAGCTAATCAAAGATATAAAAGATGGAAATATTTCCGCATTGTCCGCTCATTTTGCCAGCACAGTCGGCAGGTATTGACTCATCATATGCACTTTGATGATCACTAGGTATTTGTGGCACCAAAGAACTAGACTAAGTCCATAATCTTATAGTTTACCATACAGTCAATCATGATCACAATTCTCGTTATATTGTAACCTGTCATCCTAACGTTAACCCTGACTGTGATTCCTGTGAATTGTGCAAATCGTGCACCGTAGATTTAATTAAAAAAAAATATGGTAAATGTAAGTAGTGGTAATAAACATTGAAATTGTGTGCTTGATATCTTGGTAGTGGTAATTAAGTATACTTTCTGCACTACATCCCAATCGCAGATGGCAGATCTGACACCATGCAATCATAAAGTCACCAGACTGTATTGTTCCATTCTCTTAGTGAAGCAGAGAAACGCTCATCCGCTGACCAGGCATTTCGAGAAATTCTCATGGAAAAGCTGGTCAGTATATAAAAATACAGGAGCTAATACCAGTTTTTTTTTCTTGGTGTGGATGTTTGTCATATGTCATCTCAACCACACTTCCCCTACCAACCTTGAGCACTGTTAAAATCTTAATATTTAAATATTATTTTCTTTAATTAGACTGTTGACAAAGATTCAACTGTATGTGATGGTTTGGTCCACAATGCAATTCAGTGTTCAAGGAAAGGTATTCATGTATATACAAACTAATGCATTTGCAGCAAATTCAGTTGCCTTACCCTGGGCAGAGTTCTTGTGTTGGGAAAGGCAAAATTATAAAATGTTAACAACACTCATTTAACAACACTCTTTATCTCTAGGCATCACCTCTGTACCTCTCCCAATAACTTTGTTGTCAGACATGTTTGACTGTATAACACTTGATGTTTGTGAGCAATTGTTTCATATTGTTGAGAAACATGTTGTAACCTGGACATCTGTAAGTACCTGCAGTAGACAGAGTGGTTAATTTTTTCCATATGCACTATTCTTCCAGTAACGTATCACAGGGGCTAAATGGTATACTCAACAGCCAGATTACCAGCACTTTCCTGGTAGAAGTAATGGGCAGGTTTTGCACCAAAATGTTAATCACGGTGTAGTTTATTAGCAAAACTTGGTGGACAGTTTTTGACACTTTCATGTTCAACACTTTCTTGTTTCAGGAACCATTTTTCCTAGCAGGGAAGAACCTGCTTCTCAGGATGTGTAATGGTATGTGCTGTGTTAATAAAACTTGAATGATTGCACATTTGGATTTATACCAGTTTTGGGTCATTTTTTATAACTCTTAAAGAATCCTTTACTCTCTTATAATATTCTTTTGTACACATAAATTAAAACTAATGAAACAATTTTTATATATTCTCATACAGCAGACACCTGTTCTTTAAAAACTTATTAAGGAAGTTACATTTTCTAAAAAATGCAAATTTTAAGCAAAAAAGATTTTCGGAACTTACTAGAACACTGACTGCTCATTAGTAAACTGTGGTGACTAATCCTTTTCAGTACTAAAGGGATATAGAACTAGAGCTGGGGTGAAAGACGATTCTACACTGTTAAGGGTTTAAGAGGAAAAAATACTAGGAAAGAATACTAGGAAAGAATACTTATTCCTATTAATCCACTTACCTAAATTGTTGTTTGAACCATTTTTCTTTACCTTTACATGATACACAGAAATTAGAAAGTTACCAATATCTTGACAATAATGTCATTCTTTGTTCAGATTTATTACGTCGCTTATCAACATCCCAGAATACTGTATTCTGTGGGAGAATACAGTTGATTCTTACAAGACTTTTTCCACTCTCAGAAAAATCAGGTTCAATATTACATGTACCTCATTTTGAAAGACATTTGCAATGAAAAATAGTTTGTCTCATCTATTTTTTTTCTACCCAGGTTTAAACCTGATGAGTCAATTCAATTTGGAAAATGTGACGGCATTTGATTACAAGGGAACTCCAAGTAAGGTAAGTGAACTCCAAGATGCTGGATTGTTATTCCCCAATGTGCTAATGCAGTCAACATCTCAATTACCAAAGCTGAAAGTACTGCCTGGAAAGTTGGTTGCAATCCTGTTAAAGGATCTTACTCGTATTTTTCTTCGCTTTTCATTCTCCAATTCGTGGTATTCTAATTCTTAGTTCTCATGACAAAACTATGAACAATTGATTAATAATATCTTTTCAGGACAAAAGTAGTTCAAAAAAGGAAGTTAATGACAGGTAAGATTTATTCAAGTCATTGATTCAAGTCTCCTGGTTACAGGATACCAGCAGCTTTTGCCTTTAGAAAATGTCAAATTGTGTAAGAAGTTTAACAACTCAGTTCACATTGAACCAAAAAGCCCTTGGTTTAAGTGTACAATCCCCCACCTTTCATCTTCCCCTCCCCACCTTCTACCCCCACCTTTCACTCCCCCAATTTTTCACCCTCTTCTCAGCCTTCCACCCTCTCATCTTCCACCCCCTCATCTTTCACTCCCTAACCTTCCACTGCCCCCCTCCACCTTCATCTTTCACTCCCCCCACCTTCATCTTCCACACACCCCCCACCTTCATCTTTTACCCCCAGCCTTCCACTGCCCCCACCTTTCAACCTCCTACCCCACAATTTCAAGGTTAAAGTACATCTTATTTTCTGCAGTGAGGTAGTTGATTACGTGCTCTACACGAAATTTTGGTCGTTGCAAGATTTCTTTCGAAGTCCCACGCAGTGTTATCATGAACTAAACTGGAAGAAATTTGTTGATGTAAGAAAAATATTTTGAAACACCATATATTTTTTTTCAAAAACTGTATATACTATAGATACAATACCTCAACAGCTTTGCAAAACACAACAGAAACATTTGTGAAATTGCTATTCGTGATGTTTTCAACAAGCAAAACAGTTTATTACTAGAAACATTTCATGTCCCCCAAGTGTGATTTATCTTGGTTTGCCCAGTTCTTTGCACTTAATGGCATGAGAACAAGTGTCCGTTTTCTCTTAGAATGCGTCTGCAGTTCTTGCAGCGTTCAGCAGTCATAAACTGGAGCACGTTTCGAAGAAACGGAAACACAACGAGAGCAAAGATGTTGCGATGAGGTGAGAATGACTACGACATTTGAGCAAGATAACAAACATTTCAAACTCAATTTTTTGACAACTATAAGGCCATCACAGCTGATGGGACGAAAACTTACCTTACCTTCAAAACTTTAAACGTAAACACAAAGCGCGCAAGAGACGATGAATTATATAGTCCTGTAACTCGAGAACTCGATGGCTATGTTATACCTGTCAATCCTAATTTTCTTTTACTGTACTGTTTTTTAAAGCGACGCTTCAGATCAGCAGACGTATTTCGCCAAGTTTCTGACGAGCGAGAAGGTGAGTCGATTACATTTTTTGGAATCCTTCACTCAAGCGTCGTCCATTTCGTTTGCTATATACTCGCCATTTCGTTTACTACTCGCCAAGTCTTAATTCTTGCAAACGGCGGGAACAGAAATACTTTAGCTTTCCATGATTGGATAGCGAAATGTTTTGCCTGAAAAAAAATTGCTGTCAAAATGTTGTGCTAATCTTTACCAATACCCGATGAAAAAAAAACAACTGAATGCTCTCAAGGCATGCTACTAGGTTACAACCACATTTTGATGGATTGAACATTAACCGACAAATATAATTTCCTCATTGTTCACAAAATAAAATCGTTTTCTTTCAGTTACTAAATTTGCAGTTAAATGATTCAAACTTTCGCCGAACAGTAAGTATTTGTACCGATATCTTTTCACCCTTATCATATGTAGTAATTAAAAGAAATGATACTTGATGTAAGCGTAGTGTAAGAGATGTCTTCTTTTTTTTCCCGTTAGATTCTGGTTCAACTACTGATATTATTTCAATATCTCACTGGAGAGGTAAAGTTTAAAAGGTATGTATAGTGTATTTTATGAAACCGAGCTTTAACCTCGCCAAGTACTTCTTTGGCTTTTCCATGATACCAATATAATGCATATATTTATTGATCTTATAAACTTTAGAGTGCAGTTAGCATTTTTTTTCAACGTTTCAACTTGTAGTCGGTAGCCAAATATTTTGAATGAATTGCTCATCTTAAAATACATGTAGGAATATAATATTCATAATAAGAACGCGTGCGTGTTTTCTTTGTAGTGCTAGTCAAAAATTGAAAGAGAAGCAAAGTTCGTTCGTGAAAGATACAACTTCAAAAGTGTACGAGGTAACTGCTTAATTGCGCTCTGCATATAGTATATTCAGGCGATGGAGTGCTTGTTGGTAACCTGCTAGGAATTGCTACGGTAGTCATCTCTTTTTCTCTACAATATCATACAATGTCTATAGCATTTCACATTTAAACCACATTCCAAAACCTCCTTCCAACCAGCAACACTTTAAGTCTTTAACTTAACTATGCTGGGCCCGTATCATCTCTAACTTGCTTTCTCCATTTGCGCATCTCATCTTCTGTTTCAATGTCACGTTTTTAGTTGCTCAGAGAAACACCGCCTGATGGGGATAAGTTCGCGAAATATGTCGAGGTATCATTTCCTGGGGCCGGTTGTTCGAAAGGCGTTTAGCTTAAACGGTGGATAAGTCAAAAATAGAAAACCATATTATCAATTTATTGAACAACTGAGCTGAAATATTTCGATGTAAATATTTTAATGGTCAATGGAAGTACATATTAAGTGCATAAGATGCGGGTTCAGTCATTCACAAGATGTATATGAGAGTATTTTTAGACTTTGGGTTATCCACCGTTTAAGCTAAACGCCTTTCGAACAACCGGCCCCAGCAGATAATTTCAGCATATATAAAACAAAAGTTATTCCGAATAGATTCATTGTATCTGTTAAAAAATTTTTGATTCACAAATTACGCAGCAAGTCAACTCGGGAGAGCAGGAACCCGTATTGCATATATGCCGGCAGAGAAATATCGAACTCCTGTATTTTGTGCAAACCTCGTTAATCACAAAGCGATTTCTCTCAATTAAGGGTGCATTGAACAGAGAAGAGAATTGGATATCATGGAAGAACGCCAGCTGTCCAAGTTTTGTGAAAGAAAAGTAAAGTTTGATCATTTCCCTCCAACATCTTTAACAACTTTCTCCTACATGCATTGCCTTTTGCATGTTATTCTCTACGTTTTGCTCACTGAAACAACCCATTTTTTCTTTCTTTTTTAGGGAGGAAGCGACGACGGACTCCACCAAGATGTAAGAATGATTTGGGTCATGATATTCCTTCTAGTACATATTCTCTGAAACGAAGTTTTTTTGTAAATTAATCTCTGGTCATTTCGCAGACCACGAAAACGTAAGGCAAAAGAGCGAATCGCCAACATCACCTCAGGATCTAAGATAGACATGGGAAGGTAAAAAAAATAGACACCATCTTATCTCTATGTGTGGTAAACACTGAACTATATAATGTAACTGGAATAATATATGTCAGAATGTAAAGAGAAACTATGAGGAGCTCGTTTGATTTTAAGATGTCATTTTGTTGTACGTTTTCAGCAATGAACTAACGCGTCTTTGGAATCTCTGCCCTGACAACATGGCGGCCTGCAGGTCGGAAAAAAGGTAGATATAAAGATAAAGTCACACTTTAAGAGAGTAGAACTTGGAAGTAATTTTAGTTAATTCTTTCCGAACGTGGATGTTTTCTAAAAGAATCAGGGTAAACGTGTTTCTGAGAATCTACTTGGCTAATCACTAGAAAAATGACGGTTTATTTGACGAATTTTGACGCCTGAAAATCAAATGTCAATATTTTACAGAAACGTTCTTCCCGACTTGAAAGAATTTTTCGAGGAAGCAATCGATCAAGCTGATCCCGAAAGCCAGATCGAAGAACAGTACAAGTAAAGCAAATTTGAATTTAATATCTTCATTTATCCATTGTTTCTTGTGAAAGAAAAGCCTAAATTATGACGTAACATCCTTCCATATGCTTTACACTGGATTGAAAAGAATGATATTCATCAACTTTCAAAATCGGCTTGTCGTAAAATCAATTGTAAAAACTGTTAAAATAACAATTGTGTGATCTCTATTTTTTCAGACTTGTTAATGATCCGAAATTTGGTTGGAGAGGTACGAACTAATGTTCTCGTATTCACATAAATTTCTTGCTAACTTGATACCTGTTGCATCCAGGGGGGGGGGCGATTCACGGGGAGCATGGGGGGTTGTGTTACGTTGTATTATTGTGCTAATGTTAGTTCCTGATTTTTCGCAGCTCTGCGACTACTGTCGAGGAGAAGTCAACATTTCTTTCAATCCAGCACGAATCCCTTCAAAACGTTACCGCAATATTTAGACTTAGCCATACAACAGCTGGGGCAAGAACTTATGGTAGTGTGTGAAATAATCATTGTTTCTTTTTAAACGAGTTTTAGTGATTCCTTGACGTTGTACGTTGTTGTTGTTTTTTTTGCAGCCTCCTATTAAAATAGAAGAATCGACGATTGTTGAAAATGGTGAGTGTAGAAATATCGTGTTTACCTAATCTTTTCGGCCTAATTGAATGACCAGTGCCAGGCCCTTTTTATTGTTTTGTCTTTATAATCGCGCCGACAAAAAAGGGACTGGCACTGACCATCAATGCAGCCAAATAACCCTTAGTTATCGTTCCAGTCTATATGTAAAGTTCATTGCTAAATTGCACATAAAGCCAAGAAATTCTCATTTCCCATTCTTAGAAATTCTGAATTTCAAGAAAACCTCCCAAGTCCATGTTTTTGATGGGGGGGGGGGTGATTAGGTACATGGGAATGCCCTGGTGACGTCACCGTGTTGTAGGACTAATAATCTATTGGTCATTGAGTGAGCTCAGTCTCGTGTGTTTATGGCATTTGCAACCATAATATTTCAGGTACTTCCACGGAAGACAAGATACAAGACACGAAACCAACACCGCAGGTCGTTATCAAACAGGAGAAGGTGGAAGACTAACACTCGCGGTAACTAACAAAAAAAACGGTAAACTAAACAAAAAACCGAAGTGATTAGTTGAAATATATCATATGATAGCTAATACTCGAATTCGTGTTAATATAACAACGAGTCGAACTTTTGCTATCGAATTTCCTCAAATTTTTCAGCAAAGGTTAAAACATAATAAATAATGCAAAAGAATAAAGCAGCGTAACATATTTCCGTACAATACTATATTACCCGACGTTCGACCGTCGACTTTCAAGGGATTCATGTTTACAAAACGAAGCAATGCTAATGCGTAATATTGTCTTGACTATAAAAAAGCGCAGTTAGGAGCACTCATTTAGAATTCCTCAAACATTGTTCACCGACTCCAGGTAGGTATACCACGCCTTTGAAATGCTTTGTTACTATAGATCACAAATTTAATCTATATTACAAATATCTATATATATCTTTGAAATGCTTTGTTAATATAGATCACAAATTGAATCTATATTACAAATATGTATATATATATATATATATATATATATATATATATATATATATATATATATATATATATATATATATTTTATAAACAAAAATGTTCTCGGTGTTTGCCATATGTACCCTTGATGGGCATATAATTCGAACCTAAGAATGTAACTTTGTCTCTTTCCCTCACCAGCTCACTCTTTAGGAGTGCCTAGGCCTTGGGACCCTAGGTGGCGGTTTAAAAGGAGAAAGGAACACACAGGCAACCAAAGTTATACATTTATCCAAAGCATTTTAATAAGCTTCAATGTGAGAGATCGATTTGCTGTATTATCAGTGCGAATGTAGATTCTTAACAAATCAAATGTCCAAGTGCCACACAACTCATTTCACTGTCATCATGAATATTCTAACCATGCAGGAAATATGTATAGTTAAAATGTAGGTATATAGTCTGTGCCAAGTACTTTTGGTTGTTAACCTACAGCTACAAACTCTGTAGGATTACAATAAGGTGAACACAATTTTGTTCCAAAATGAATTTGGAGTTGTAACACTGGTAATATTATAAACAAAAATGTTCTCCATGTTAACCATACTTACCCTTGTCAGGCAAATTGAAACCTAAGAATGTAACTTTGCCCCTTTCCCTCACCAGCTCACTCTTTTAAGTGCCTAGGCCTTTGGGACCCTTAACCCTAGGTGGATGCTCACAATTAAGGGTATTAAAGTATGGTAAATATGGAGAACATTTTCATTTATATTATTACCAGTGTTAGAAATCCAAATTTATCTTCATATACTTTTAAATATGTTTTATCATATTCCCTGTACACTGGTACAGTATAAAATAGTTGAAAAACTCAAACAACTAAAAACCTTATAAAAATAATATTCTTGTGGTGTACCTACAAGCTAAATTACTCATAAAAATAGTTTATGAAGTCCAACAGCCGATGTTTTGTAAACACTTGAGTACGTGTCAATACGGTTTACGGAAGTACTCTTTCACAAAAATTTCCATCTCTTGCCCTAGCATCGTTCTGGCGTCTCTGGTTGCGCTCGTTTGCAACTCGATTGAGATGAAGAATACGCAATCGACGAACTTCCGTAGATCTTGGGAAGTACAAATACATTACCACATTCACACAGGCACCAATAACAAAGAGAAAAGCACACGAAACAATCAAACATTCCAGTACGGATGTCGAGTAATACAAAAACACACTTACGACAGCGATACAAACGGAGAGCAAAAGCAAGCGTAGCCTTATAGGGAGAATACTTCGTAATGGCCAACCAATAGACGTTTTCACGGTCCATGTGACGAGTCGCCATACCCAAGAGATTGCCATGCTAACAATCATAACAGCGGCAATTAAGAGAACAAGGATCACGACATAGATTGTAAGCTGAATCAATAGCTCTATGTCCATGGTTTTGCCAGTCAAAAGTTTGTGAACAGCATTGATGAGTGCTGGAAACAAAGCGAATAGAAAAAAAAATTCTGCCAAGCTTAAGATAACACGCTCAAGACGGGAAATGAAATCGTTCCCTGTGCAGCGCAGGCGAAGGGAGTACGCGACAAAAAAACAGAATAAAAAAAGAAGTACAATCCCGACATCAAATGCGATTTGCGTCTTTTCTACAACTATATTCATATTGTCCATTAATCGAGCCGCTCTAGGAACTAATACCTCGTTAAATGACTTCTGAGTTTTGTCGACTTGTTCCTGAATGTCAGCAAGAAACCTGTATAGAATGTTCATAGCCACTGAAACATGTCTGTTAAAATCTTGTCTCAGTCCTATTGTTTCCTTTTCAACCACGGCTACTCCTCTTTCGATTGAATTCTGCATTTTTCTAAACATACATGATGATACGAGTGAACAGGTGCAAACCAAGACCAATACAACCGATGAACGGGTAATACCGTCGCGTGTCTTCATTAGTATGTCTTCAAGTATCAGGACAACGAGGAACTAAAAAATAAAGCAAAAAGAGCGATATTCCCACACAGACGAGCAGGTTTTCTTGACAAGTTTATTTGCCTGTGGGTACTGCAAATCGTATGCAGCAAGGAACAACAAATATACAACTACAACATTCCTTTTTTTCGAACTTCGAAGTAATTTACGAGCCCACATTATAATGTACGTCCAGAATTTCTTTATACTTCACGGTACTCTTTAATATAGTAGGAAGCGATCCAGTGAAGCGATCCTACTTTTTCTCGGCATGGTAGAAAATGCGGGTAACGGACTACGGATTACGGACACAATCTTTAAAAAAATGCGAAGATGTTGCCTTCTCAATAAAACATTTTGGTATTTTTAACATATTTTTTCAGACTTTAGGTAAATAAATTATTTTAGCAAAATTTCAGCATAGGTCACCAGACAATTTGATAACATGGCGCTTTTTTGTAAAAGTTAACGACGTTAGCAATAAGTAGGATCCTCGTTACGCGCAGTGACTATGTCACGCAGCTAGGAATTTTTATGGTTTTTGTGCGCTTTTATAGGCTTGCTTTCTTGGCAGTGCAAACTGTTGCGCAAATTATTGATTTGGAGCGGTTTATTTGGGACCTCCTCGAGATAACACATGATCCTTTTATGTATCAAACCACCTTTTAAACGATTTCAATTTGCACAAAATCTTTATTCATTACTCTATGAAAGGCTATACAGCAACATTCAAACATGCAGTCGCCCATAAATATTTGCATGTAAACGTGAACGAGAAAAAACGCAACACAATGTTCATTTATATAAAATAAAAAACGGCGAAAAGCACATTCAACAAATTCCATATATAGTTTTGCTATAATCCCATATCCCAGCTAGCACAATCACGTTGTATTAGCGTTCGTCGAACGTTTGGATAACGTTATTTATTAACGTTGGGTAAACATTTTTTTGTGAACTCGTAGGAACATGGTATCAACGTTAGGATTAACGTTACAGCGCGACGTTAATACAACGTCCGTACAACGTTCAACTCAATGTTCATATAACCTAATGTCCAACGTTAATGCAAGGTTCAGCCAACGTTTGGCCCTAACGTTCGGCCAACGTTAAGATAACGTTGGATATCAAGGTTGAGACAACGTGAATTATTTCGGGGTATTTGAAAATTCCTGCAACTTTGTTTGCGAGATTGCGTCGAATACAGATATCTTATAGTCATCAGCCGTCTCGTCAATTTGCTGGCAATGTTTTAATCAATGTCAATGACATAAATCTATATGTATTCACAGGCTGGCGAACAATGCCTCCGAAATCGCAATTAAATTTACACATCACAATATATACGTTTCACGATGTATAGATAAACACGAAGAAGCTTTATCCATATTGCGCGTTCTCCTAAGTGCTACCGCGGCCAAAGGTGTGAAATAACGAAAATCCAACGTCTGCATACATGCATAGCAGAAAAACTTTCATAACTTATTTTCACCTCCAAACTTCAATAAGTCGAGAGAATATAGACCATGCTTTTACGTTACATAAATCAAAATGTTGATTCTACACTAGATTTTTTGCTAGTGTATTAGAAACTTTTGGTTCTACCGTTCTTTAAATTTGCTGTCTCATAAGTGAGAACGCCCAACTAGGGTTGGGTCGTCACCATTGCATTCACCCGTTCGCTTTGACGCGGTAGCCTGCGTCGTCGATGCGGTGAAATACGAAAACACGTTGACACAAATTCCAATAATGAAGAGAAAAAAGAATACCATGATTGCGCAATCTACGAGTGATGTCGAGTGGTAACAATACACGCTTATAACGATGATGCAAAACGAGGATAAGCCTAACCGCAATCTTATTGAGAGATTTTCCTGCAGCGGCCATTCAAAACTAGTTGCGATGAGCTTCTTCACGATCAGCGCTGTGCATGGCAGCACCCAGGAAATTAGAAACTCCGCAACTATTATAACGACCATGGTTAAGGCGACAATACTTGCAGCGCCAACTGCAAGTTTTTTCGACGCTTCGTTGTCCATATCTTTGCCCGTGACGTGTTTGTATAAAATGCTAGCTGATACTTGAAGCCCGTAAGACAGCGATGTTAATTCGATCGTTCCTAGAATAAAGCATTCACAAAGGGAGATTATATCTTTTCCGGTGCGCAAACGCGCAATATAGAAGGCCAGCATAATAAGAATCAAAGTCCTGATGTCTAAAGCAACATTCGACTTCCTTATTGCTGTGTTAACCATGTCAACTGTCTCATTTACTTTAGCCACTCTCTGCAAAAACTGACTTTGTATATCTTTCACCGTGTTCATCATTGCTTCAATATGCGCGTTTGCATGCTCTCTCATTTCTTTCACTTGTTGTTCCATCGACTTTATTCCTTTTCCTGTGTTCTCGGACATCAGATTCAAAGTGTTACCTATGCTCGTCCCCATTGTTCGAAAATGGCTTGTCGATGCTTCTGTGAACTGCCTAATTTGGTGTCCCATTTGCTCAATTACCGGATTCGGCACGTGATGTGGATGTGGATGACCATGACGTCTCCGGCGACCTTTACAACAACCACATGTGTATACCAACAGAAGAAGACAAGTAAGTTCATATGTCCTCATTTTCATATAAAAAAAAAATGACGCAGAACGCACCTAAAAATTTAAGCAAAGTAATTCAATGTGCATTGTTCGGATGATTGATGCACGGAATCACGTACGGAGTT